ATCAGGTCAGGCAAAAGTCTGGAGGCGAGGCAAGGGTACAGAGGTACAACCGAAGCGAGTTGTACAAGGTTCGGGGGTTCAAGGGTTCAGGGTCAGGCTTCCAGAGTTGTGGAGGATGCGAAATAGAAGAGACTGTAATTCCTAGGTACAGTTGTCCAAATTATATCTAAGTTTATTTCTCCTAGTCGCGCCAAAACATGGCTTATGATCTAGCTATCATCCCTCGCAACCCATAAATCATAATCAAAATCACTACCATGTCAAAATGTCTCGCAACCCTCCATCCAAACATAAATCCAAAAATCACTACCAACAGGCTCACGGGCGCTCAGACCGTAAACGATCTCCCTGATTCAGGCGTCTTCCTGTCTCGCAAGTCCTATCTGTCACTCACACCACCATCAGCCATTTCACCCGGCGTACTTTCCACATACTCAACAAATGAAACAAACAATCTGTACGAACAGCGCGTAGTACCCCTCCGATATCTTGAAATATCCACAAACGTGCCATCACAAGAAAAACATTGGGGTCCCTGAACCAACTCATAACTTCTAGCCCAGGCCAGCACCTCCGCTACCTGTTCCGCCCATACAAAACCATCCCAACCATCCTATACTCGAACCAAGTACACATCCATACACCTGGTCAAACAAGGCGTGGAATCTCCAAAATGCAAGCGGAAGGCCTTAATCATAGATTGTCCATCCAGCTGTCGTCGCCGTTTCGCAATCAAAGCATCATAGCCGGGGCATGCAGTTCTCGCGGGAGGTGAAAAAGAACCACTTGTTGCCTCCAATTCGAGCACTAGGGAGCTGACAGTAACTGTGTTCATGTGCCATCAGAAACCTATCACAAGTCCAAGCCCCACTGCTGACGATTAGCTGTCTGTTCTGTTCAACCAACAGAGTCCCGTCAAACGGATTTCCAGCCACCACTTGCTCCACGTCCACCTCAACCATGTCCCTCGAGATACCGAGCCCGAACCACTGATGTCCCCTCCACCATTCCTGCCAGTCCCAGACCGTACTATCTTTGAACAGCGTGTCAGCAGAAGGCCTATCTTGGAGATACCGCTCGGTTGAAGTCCAGTGGTCCCGACCGTTCTTCCCGATGCAGTCGTCATGGCCCACCAAGCCAGTGCCGCTGCGAATCCTTATCAGCACATAGGCATCCAGTCTAGTGAGTCCTCGAAGGTGTCTGGGAGCCGTAGGTTGTCGCTCGTAATAGTCGTGGCCCTGTGCCTGATGCCAGGTGTCCCACTCATCACGCCGCAACTCACGCGCCAATACAGTGTGTCCAATGCCAAAACTGATCCCGTTCCAGTCCTGGGTCAGCAGCCCCCGATGCATACAGCTTTTGGCGTGTACGTCGACCAACTCATTCCGTGCCACCCGGGTATGTCCAGGGTGTAACGACCCTAGGTAATAGAGCTATGGCAAGCTAAGTCTACGCCCATACATACGGCTGAGAGGTTACATGGTAGACTAGGCGGGCATGCCTGAGCATGTCCGGGAGATACCTGATGGTCCGGGTATCCCGAAGAACAGAAGGTACTTAAGGAATAGGTGTACCCAAGTAGTGGAAGTGATGTGACTATATCGGCTTCGGCCTGAGGATAGGTTGGAAGGCCGAGTGAGTTTACCCTGTCTAGGCAAGTCATGTTACCCTGTCATGGAGACCAGTTTCGTGTCCCCATGGACATACTTACCCTACCTTTGGGACACTATTACCCTACCTTCCGTCGGAAACGTTCTTGGAAAGATTCGGTGTAATGTCAAGATTGTTTGTTACGCAATGAAGATCGACGGGCACTGTCTTGCACATTGATCGGAAGACTACGGGAGGAGCTGGAGAGCTCCGAACATGCTGTAACTTGGCACAATTATTCCTAACAGGTACCTGCGGCCCCAGGATTCGCCCCGGGCATCATGGGCCAAAATGGGTGGAGTTGCCGTCTTACTAGTTAAATGGAATCATTGGAGACAGGTCCATAACACTGTATATGTCGCTGCCGTCCGTCCGACCGGAGGCTGTCCGCCGGATATACAAGGGGGCCAAGGTGAGAATGTCAGGTACCTTCTCCAAAAGGAACGGAGTAAAACGGACCAAAACTGACGGAGGTAGCGTCAGCTATCCGGAAGGGTCCCCAGAGTAGTCCCGAGTAGTGCCGGAGACGTCTGGGAAGGTTTTAAGCCAATCATGCCTCCACGTGCCCCTTTGCCGTAGGCTCTTTATGGGTTGTTGGAAGACTCTAATAGCATGATACTTATCATGCTGAGTGGTGTGCCGGAGGTAAGGGACCATGGGTAGCGCCCACGGGTCCCGCCACCGACACAGCGCTGCGTGGGAGCGTCGTAGACCCCGTAAGTTCGCAATCAAAGAAGATAGAACTTAACCGGAGGACGACTGATGTCTGCAAGCGCTTGCATAGATCATAGCACATGGGAAGAGAGACATTTAGTTAGCTTTCCTAGGGGTCTCGACAGTTAGCCACTGACGAGACACCGATGCGCAGAAGTTTTCACTCCGGCAGGTGTGTTGGTAAACACCTCGCAGGAACTGATGTGCATATGGGAGATTTTCTGCTAGAGTGCACTGACACCTTAAGCCCTTCGGGGATGCGGTAATGGTACCGGCAACCCTTACGGAGAAGGGTGTGCTCATGTTGGTCAGGGCAACCTGATGGGGGTGTTTTTGGTATAAGTCTAACTACTTGAAGCTTATATGAGAACTCTCCTGCCACGACACAATCAACATCCTCTCGCGAGACTTTAATTGAGATAGGCCAGAGCTTAACGATATTAAGTTTTACCATTTACTTTTATTCTTTACACTTTACAAGAGTTGTGTTCGAGAGATTCGAAGTTTGGTGCGGTCGCATCCTTAGGAACCATCTACCTGAGGGAGCCCCCGTTACACAGGGACCCATTCGCAAGAAATGTTCCTGCACTCGTTCAACAATGGGGCAAACACCTCCCACATCTCAGCAGAATCGCCC